TCCTGCCACTGCAGTCAAGTTGTTCGCTTCTGCTGTTGCCTGGCAAACAGGAAAAGGCATTGAGACTCAAGACAGCTTTGATGAGAATTAAAACCGAAAACTTGAGTTTTGAGACAATAACTAACCTGCAGCATAGACTTTGGGTGGGGAAGTTCCTCACCTTGATAGATCTTTATATAAGCCTGCAGGAAGGGAAAAAAACACCTTATCACACCAGTGTTTCCTACAGAGTGTTAATATTCTGGCAGCTAACAGGAAATTAACAAGCTGTGGTCAAGTGCTCAAAGCTAGTGTCCTGTTTTTTTTTTTTTAAAACAACAAAAAACAGGATTTAATCCTGACAGTGAAACCTCTGACTGTAGTATTATTTTGTACACCTGAGTTACCTCACTTGTTCTGCGTCCGTTTCTGTGATGAACAAAGTTTAAAACTAGGCTTTGCAAACTGTAACCAGCTGAAAACACTGAACCCTGTTGATGACCACACTGGTTTCACATGGTGTCTTCACTTTATGAATGAGGTTTTTAAGTGTCTCTCTCTCTTTAGAGGACACCACTGTTTACTGGAGTTTGGAGTTTACCGTAGCTAAAAGCCAAGACCAATTATGTGCCATTTATTTAACATAAAGCTTTTGTTACTTTCTTGTAAATCATTAATTTCAGATTAGGCAGCAGGTTGTATGAAGTAGCATTGTGATATATCAGTATGGACTTTAAAATCCTGCAGGACCTTGAAGTACTCCACGAGATCTCTGCAGGTGACTTTGTTGCCTCCGATCTCCTTCTCCACCAGTCGTTCTGGGGCCAGGAGGAGAGGCACAAGCTTGGCCAGCTCCCTCTTAAAATCACCATTGATGTCTGAAACGCAGACACAGCCTGAATGTTCTCTGGAGCATGTCTTTTCAGCATATTTACCTTTATTACCACATGTGTACGTGCCTGTTTTCTCACCTCTCAGCCTGCCATCAAAGCACGGGTTTGTGGCCACCTCAAGGCCAGGATGTGGCAGCAGGAAGCAGCCGATGTTGGAGAAGCAGGAGTGGATGTGTTTCCTCACATTCTGCAACTCTTCATGTTGGTTTTGCTTCACCTGTGAAAGCAGACAGCAATACATTCTCACAGCAAAAGCATGTTTGTCTTGGACTGCTGTGTACACACACCTGAACAGACAAAGACACCGGTTATGTTTGTGCTTTTTAAAATAAGGTGTGGTGTGTCTGGCAGGAACAATGAGTGTGCAACCTGCTGCATAAATATCAGGATAGAAATTAATTTCTCTGTATGGTCAAAATTGTGCATTTTCAAATTGAATTTAAAAAATGATTCTTACCTGTAGTCTCTTCTCCAGGAAGGCATTGCCTCCTTCCACGCCGTAGTGGTGTTCATAAGGATAACTCCAATCACGAATCAGAAACATCAGGGACTGAAATGCAGCAACAGCACAGACACAAGAAGACATATTATATTAGATTTGGGGATAATAACAGGGGTCCATTCTTATTGATATTACATTTCTCAATTCTACTGATGTTCAATCATCCTATCAATTAAAACGAGACTTGCTGTGCAGCCACATATTAATCGGAATGGGAATATTTACTGGACAAGGTGCACGCTCAGTGGCACATGATATTCTTTAAGACTATACAAATGTTGTACACACGGTCAGGAGAAGCAGCCAGTACCTGGAAAGGTTTCAGGTAGATCTCTTCCATTGCCAGCCGCCCATATTCTGTGAAGAGCTACATGTGAGAAAAAAGAAACTATGATTAGAATATTGAAGGCTCTGACGCTACTTTCTCCTGGATGGAGAAGACAGAATGACACCAACCTGCAGATGCTGCAGGTCGTCCTCCTGTATGTTCTGGGAGAGATTGTACACCTGAGAACAAATAAGCACAACATGAGATGAGAATGCTGGTAAAATGTTAAAGATAAAATAATGACAGTTTCCACCAAGACACAGCAAGTGTCACCTGTACAGAGCTGGTCATTGTGCTGAGGGCGAACACAGTAGCACAGTCCTTTATGGTGGACTGGCTGTCAAACGCTCCCTGAGTGTCAACAAGGAGTACAGCAACCTGTTGGGACAAGATGCAATGCATGCAATATGCTGACAACTTCATCTTGTAGGCCAAGTAGGGCGTTTGCTTTAAAAATACATGTAACCATAACAATAAAACATCTGCTACGTAGGTTCGCCTAAAGCTAGACAGCATGTACAACACCTTCTCATGAAGGATTTATGGTGTTGTTTAATAGCTACCTTGCTGCCATCTGGTTTGTCGACCACAAACACATCACTCCAGATCTGAATTCCTGTGGTCTCCCTCTCACAGCCTCCTCTCCAGGTAAATCCTGTCAGGGGCTCGTCATCACCTCCCATCCATGACCTGCTCTTCTGCAGAGAGAGGGGATGGGAGGAGGTAAGATGCGAGAAACAGAGGGAGTGGTTAGGACAGACAAAGGGGGGATCCACATGGACTGAGAGGACAGATGAGGGGTGAGGTGTGAGCTGCAGAAAAGACCAATTGTGGAGAGGTGGTGGAAAGAGGGAGGCCTGAAAAAGGTCAGTCGACTAAAGTCTATCAGCAGCTGGCTCAGATTTGAACCTGGGGAACCAATTTTTAAAGATGAGCTGTGTTTGTGATGAAATAATGTATTGACTGTATTGTTACTGTAGTGCCATACTGTATTTAAAATACCTTCATTAGAGAAATGCATGTTTTATCTGTCTGTGACCAAGTGCCCAAACTGTGTGAAATTGTATCTGCATAGTCACACAAAAAAATACCATCAATTTTGGTGTCTTTGATCCAACACCTCAGTTAAAAGTTAAGCCCTCAGTTAAAGCAACACACTGTGCCCTTGTTTGTACTTCTGACTGAGAAGCAAGGAGACCCAGTGACTACAAACAAGAAATGTATACATAAGCCTCAAAAGCTAATTCCTAATTTGCAAAGCAAAGTATGCATGAGCACTGATTCCTGGTGACCATAATATAACAGCGTGTCTCTGCTGAATGCCTCTAATATAACACAGCAAGATGATACTTTGCCATTTGATAATAGCAAACCCTTGCAGTCCAAATAATACTGCCCTTAACAGAGATTCACACAGCTGTGAAGGTTCTACAAACCTGCTCATACAATTTCTAACTATATAACTGAATGTAAAGGACCACACGGTGAACAAATAACATCAGTGTTTGGGACAAATGCACCAATGCGGATGAGCTGAGACATGCATGAATGCCCATACTCATGCTACGGCTCCATAGGCCACGCTTTCGTAGACCGCGTCCTTTGAAGGATGCAGCCCCTGAACTGAGACACAGCTTGTGCGTAAAGAGAGCATGTGAAAATAAGTGTAAGGTGATCCCTCGCTGTCCGTGAGTGTTCAGTTGTTGCTAGGAGGTCTGAGGTAATAGCTGTTGATACTTGTACAGGCACAGCTGTGAACTTGCACAAGAGTGTGTGTGTGTGTGTGTGTGTGTGTGAGTGAGTGAAAACTGTGGGTATGTAATGTACCACTCTGTGTTATCCAGACCGTATTTCAATAGTTAACTATGCCAACCTATTCTAATTCAGTACTTCCAAGTCTAAAACTCTCATTATGAAACTAAACTACATTCCAAGACTCACCTACCCACCAGGCCGAGAACAGCTACACTGAGCTGTCCTACTCATGTCTCATTCATCTGGATGAGTCAATATCTCAGTATGAGCCTGAACAGGAAGCACTCGTCATTATTTCTCTGCCACTACTGCTGGACTGTTCTTGCAGTTCACCTGTTCTTACAACCTCAACCGACTGCATATGTTACATAGTATTAAGCTCCCAGAGGAAGGATGAGCTTTTGGATGTTTACTTGGCACATGTAAACACACCTTCAGCAGGGTCTTCACTGGCACTCTGCACCAGCGCAACTATTTATTTTCAGAAGTGTGAGATGATAGTTAAATCATATCGTTCAGCACTGAGAGCATACTTAATGCACTATATAGCGAGGTGTTCCTATTATTCTGCCCCCTTATGTATGTAAATAGAGGACAAAACAGTAGAAGCATGTTTCAATACAAGTATAAAACCACCTTGACCTTAATAAAAAAAAAACCCAAACTAACAATACAGAACAAAAAAGTTACATCTACATCAACTTATCTTCACAAAAAATTAGAACTAGTATGAATGAACCAGTTATTTTCCAGATTTGACTGTGCAGATGCAGAATTACAGTTTAATATTTAACTACACGGCTACAATTAGTGGATTATCCTAATTTATAGCCACTTGACAGAAAATTAACAAGCCACCATTTTGATAATCAGTTAATAGTTCCGAGTTATGATTTAAAGAAAAAAAGCTATAATTAACTGGTTCCAGCTTCTCTAATGTGAATATTTTCTAGTTTCCTTAGTCTTCTACAAATGTAAAATTAAATCTGAAGGTGTCACTTTGGACTGAGAAAGTGTGGTGGACATTTTTCACTATTTTGTGAAATTTAATAAACCAAATAATCAAGAACATATTCAGCAGATTATACATCTTCTAGCACCAATTAACTTGACTGCTATTCATTTCAGACTAGCCCTACTGTTCAAACTGACAGTGGAGTCAGTGCCAATTCTGACTGGTCCTGGTTATTTCATTTCTAAAAAAATATGTAACATCATTTGAGGAATATTTGTTATAACAAGATGTGTTAACTTGGTCTTTTAAATGAATCTCCACAGGAATACATAACCTAGTATGTCCACAAATGTTTATCTTACCTGACTGTGCATGTAGCGCAGCATGAAGTCCAGCAGGAAGGACTTGCCCTTGCGGAAGGCCCCGGCCACAGATACAACCACCACATTCAGGTCCTTTATGTGATCCTGCAGCAGGATCTTCTCCAGTGCAGCAACGTCCAGCTCAAAGCTGTGCTCATCTTCATTGGCCTGGACGATCTGGATGGGCCTGGGTTCTTCCTCTACCACAGCCTAACAACATGAATTTGCAATCAATCAGGGCTTTCCCTGCCATCAAGAGAGGTTCAAGGCAGGTTTCATGGAGGAGCAGACTGAAAATTAGAGCCGAGATCAGCCAACAAAGTGTGTGTGTGTGTGTGTGTGTGTGTGGGTGTGTGTGTGTGTGTTTGGGGGGGGGGGACCAGAACACATTCAGGAGTCTGCTGTAAAGCAAAGACACAGCTAGAATTTAAAGACTGCCATGTAAAATACAGGATACTAAGGTTGAATATTTGTATTTTTCTGTCAAAATATATGCCTTGGATTAAAAAAAACACAGGAACTTTAATTTTCTGCAGGGAGTCCAATAAAAGACTCCAGTCATATATTTCATCATTGAAGATTGAAGAATAGTATAGTCTCGCTCTCGTGAACCCAGTATTGTGCAACACCTTGTCTCAAGAGCTAAGTACATTATCACACCCTTAGCCTCCACCAGTCTCTGGGATGCCGTCTAGCCTTGTCCATGCCGCAGGCCTGCATCCAGCATGGTGGGCCACCTTTCAGCCTCTCACACCAAGCCCCAGCTGGTCCTTCTTCTGTTTTCTTGTGTTCTTTCTTCCCCGGGCGCCGAGCCGCCTCCTCTTGTTCTGTCGTGTCTCCTGCTCCTTTCCATCTTCTTTGGGTACAGGTCCACCTGGCTGAGTTTCCTCCCTTTCCTGGTACCATGATGCCACTTGTCCTTAACTCCACAGCCACCAAGTTGTCTGCGGCCTTCTCCTCCTATACTGGCACCGAGCTGCAGTCTGCTTTCTCCTCTACTGGCTTCCACTGGCGTCTCCCTCGTTTCACTGACCAAAGCCACTGCCTTGCTTCCCGCGGCTGTGGGGGCTTTCAGCGCCACCGCCTTGCGGCTCTCTTTTCCTGCTCTGCCTGGCTGCCACACTGAGGAACCAGCTTGCGACTTCCTGTTTTTTTGCCTGAGCTGCTCCTCCTCCTTCCTCGCTGCTCCCTCAGTGGGTTTTTTAGGGGCTTGTAGAGCATGACATGGTTTGCTGATTTATGGCCAAGGGCTCCCCTGTCTCCCATTCAGGATCGGAGCATCAACTACAGCCGCCATAAAGGTATACCAGGCCACCTTGCAAAGATCAAGGAAGGAAGAATCTTGCATGTCCATCAGCAGTACTTCCACTCAACCCTCAGGATGTGCATAAAGTCTAAATCTGCTCTCTTCTTAGGAAGGTCTTTTGGGGGATTCTCCACACCTAAGTGCCACATGGATTGACCAGAATCCTTCCCCCAAAATGCTCCAACAGTCACCAAGCAGCATCAGCACAAAGTTCCACGTAGGCTTAGTCCTGACTAGTGAATACTGTGTACTGCTAAAGACAAATAAGTTCCTATTGGAGCCTACCTATACTTTTATATTTACACTCTTTAACATGTTTATTTTTCTTCTATTTAATTTGCATTTTAATGTTTTATGCTATTTTTTCTTATGAAGTGTTTGCATTATTTAAAACACTCTGAATTGCTTCTGTGTATGAAAATGTGCTATACAAATAAGCTTCCCTGGCCAATACATGAAATATGGAAGAAGAGTAGTTAATACTTTACCTCTTCTTCCTGAAAGTCTTCATCTGGTGATGGGGTGTAGCTGGCATTTTTGCCCACATTTGAGGGCATGGTCCTGGGCAGTAATTCATCTTCCAGGTCTTCGGGCCTGGCTAAAGGAGGCCTCTTATGCCGAAAAATAGGGACATCGTCCACACCACTAAAGCCTTTAGTTGACAGGAGAAAGTAGAGAGGAAAAAGTACACTGGTTAGATAACATCATGCTGTGTGTTAAGTGTGGAGACAATGGGAGTAATGTGGGGAATAGGAGAAGAATGTGGAGACAGGGTTATGAGGTATTTTTCTGTCTAATAAGTCAGTTTACATTTATAACTATTCCTCTCAAAAAGGTTAACTAGCCTATATGGGTCAAACTATAAACAGGAATCTTAGTAGCATTCTGTGCAGGGCTAAATACTGTTATCAATGCTAGTCTACCCATATAGGTCAGGCTCGAAATAGCCTCATGCTGAAAATCACCAAGGGCCAGCAAAAAAAAAAAAAAGACACAAGACAAGGAAGCGACAAGGACAGTGTTTTCCGTTCTCTTCTGGGTCATCTGGATGTTTCTGCAAAAAAATCTTTCCCTTAAATCCAAAGCATGCTACCTATAAAACTGTCATTGCAAACCGCAGTATAAGCTGATGAGCTCGTCTTAGGAGCATTATATTTAAGGTCGCAACTACAACTAATGGTTAATCTTTCACAGTCCAAAAACCTAAAGATGCTCAGTTTACTATCAGATAAGATAAAGAAAAGCACCTGGAACAAGAGTTTCAGGCTTTTTGTTTGTAAAATGATTACCAAGATAATCAGCAGAAAATTATTCAGCAACTGACTAATCAACCAGTCACTACTGCTGTACATTATTTACACACTGATTATCACAGTTTATCCCAGTTCTCTGCTTTCGGGTCAGAAAGAGTTCATTTGTTCAGCTCCAAGTGAAGAAACCAGTGGTGCAGCATTAAGATGACACTCCCTTGGCCTAACAGAGTCCACAGAACAGGCAGGGCAAGTATTAGGCACTGCTCACTCAAATTCTTAAGCAATTAGTTTCTACTACTGTATATGCTAGTACAAATTAGGCTTCAGCAAACCAACAGGACCCATCCTTTCCAATTTCCCTGCCATCCTTGATGAGCACAGAGGCTGCAGTGGGATGATTTTTCACCACACATTTTAGAAGCCTGGTGAATCGTTGATAACTCTCATAAAATTAACAGGCAGATTATTCATTAATGAAAACATTCACTAGTAAAAACATAAGACCATTTAAGCTGGGAGGGTGTTTTGAGGATATTAAGTGATATTCTTACTCAAGAGGACAACTGTAAAAAGGGACATTTCAATGATCAACCTGGATGTACTGCAAATTCCCAAAGGGCAGCAGCAATACCGGACTAGTGTTGGCTGCAAGCACAGGGCAGTTACAGTAATCTGCTCAGCACAAATTAGCCCTGCACATTTCCTCCATGTGGGGAAATGCAGGTTCCCATCAAGAGCCGAGCAGCACTCAGCAGGATGAGGAGGCACAGTCTGCGGCTACAGAGGAATAGAGGAGACCCACACAATGACACTATTCTGCTGGGAATGTGAGGAGTCTGTATAGCACAACAGCCAGTGAAAACACACTAGCTTCACTGATATGTGCACTCACTACTACACTTCATGATGAAGTGGCTAAAGCAATGTCCTACTCCTCAGCTCGAAGAAAATGAGGCCAGGACTAAAATTAGCTACCTTTTTTAATCTTCCAGAGGAACCGAGCGGATGTTCACTGGCCTAGATGTTTTCTTGCCTACACACTCACATACAAAGTTACTAAGAGATGAGATTAGTTTGTACAGTACATCGCAAACACAAAGCATCACACATACACCCAGAGCTGCATTTAGTCATGCATCCATCCAGTGCTAATAGAGGGGTCTATCTTTAATTATGTGCTATGCCCCAAATGTCCCTTCCCTGGACTCCTGCACTATATCTGAGGGGGACTATGATAAGAACACAGTCCATTTAACTTTACCAGCTGTCTAAACATGGGAGGTTTCATACTTTACAGAGGGAACTCCTCTTGCTTTTTCCAAGTGATTCAGTGTAGGGATGAAGACATTTTGAGATTAAAGTTGTATTCTACAAGAAAAATACATTGCAGCATGTTTCTCACAAATATTCTACAAGCAAGATTATGTAAAATTATTGCTGAGGGCCTGCTGGTTATGACATTTCACAGTTTCATTTGGATCATAAAAGAGAACACTAGCACTGGACAGCGGGCAAATTCCATGCAAAAGTTTCCTCTATACTGCTGCAAGACTAATTATCAGTGTCAGAAGTTCTCAAGCAGGGTGTCAACACCCTCTTCGAGCCTTGTGACATCCAGGCTACGGACTGTAAAGACAATTTGTTTTTTGTTTATTTTATGTCAAGACAACAAGACAGCAGAGACCATGTTTATGAAATGGAATGAGGAATCCACTATAGCCTATTAAGATGCAGATATAGCAATGTCTCTCTATACCAGCACCCAAAGACAACCTGGTTTGGCCTCCCTAGACAGGAGTCATAGAGGGCAAAGGGTCAGTTGCAGCAAGCAGACCAACCGAGAGTTTGTGAGGACAAAGTGCAGATTAAGAGCAGCCACAATTGGTGAATGTTGTTGCTGTCAGCTGTCCTGCATGAAAGTAGACATAAGGGTTACCATGATAAGAGCCTCACAGGGATCATACAGTATCTCAGTGATGAGCTCTGGAGACAGACCAACACTTTCTTACAGTCTTGACAAAGTGTTTTCTAACTGTCCCTTTCAAAGCTCAAAACGAACTCATAGCAATTAGTCAGTATTTTGTGTGCACATGTAAACACTCCAAATTAACTCAGACCCCTCTGAAATGAACCAAACTAAAAACACCCTGGTGAGACCTCCTACCAATCAAAAAACACAATGCACTGTTTACACCCTTACTTTGGAAAAGCGCCACAATATGAATCTGAAGAGCTGACAACATAATTGTGCAACATTGTGCTCAGATAAACTTTTAAAGCAAGCAGGCTACATTTAGCTGAGACTGAGGACTGTGGATTTTGGGCCCACATCAATTACAGCGTGAGACTGAGGACTGTGGATTTTGGGCCATCATTTACAGCAAAAGTGCATTAGGAAGGCAGGAATGACTACAGAACGTAAAACTTATTTCAGTCTTCATATGGACACATATTGTCCACTACTTCAAGAGAGACCAGTAAATTGTGAACCTATCCTTTAACAATGAATTAGGCTACAAAATGTGTAGCTGTAGTCATGGGACAAAATTAACCTAGTATTTACGTGTATAAATCTGCTGGCAAACTAATAATAGGATATTTAAATCAGAGTCATTAGTGGGATTAGGAGATTATCGTACGTGCTTGTGCTGTATGTGGACGGGAAACTGGTCCACATCATTATCTAACCAGTGTAAATAATGCCGACTGTTTCAAAGTTCAGAAACGACACAGTTGAAGGCAAGTGCCTGTCCAACTATAGGCAGCCTAGAGACAAGACATTGGGTAGAAACGTCTGGTCCTCGGTGGCCCAGGTGAAAGTGGCGGCCCGGACAAATGAGCAGACAGGTGTCGCGGTTTAATTTTGTATCCGGGTCAGAATCCGTTTCAGACAACAGCTTTTCAAGTTAGAGATGGGAAACATATTTAAACAGAGAAAACACATGCTGACAAAGTGTGTGTGTGTGTGTGTCTCTAGCTAAGTTTCATACAGTCTGGACTATGTTGGCACTGTTTGTATAGTACAGGAGACATTCCAGCAGGGGTACCGTATTTGCCAGTACAGCGTGGGTCTCCAACTGAAAGCACGAGCGTCTGGCTATCGGAGAAACTAGTTTGGCACTAACCAAGGCGCCAGAAACAAAAACATTCAATTTTAACTCTCTGTAAGCTTCGTACTCTTTATCAGCTCGCTGTCATGCACCTATTAGAAAAACAAAAGCGGTATACCTTCGTCAGCAACTCGGCTTTTATAGTTGGACTCGAACTGATTCCTGCTCCTCAGCCCGCTCACCTCCGCCATCTTGGACTATTGAAATCCGACGTGGCTGACGTCAGAGAAGACGCTGTCTGCTGAGTTTCTCCCTGACTGAAACTGAAGCAGTTGAGTCGCTAGATATACAGTGATTTGTAATATTAGAGCAGCAAAGGACTCGTGCGTGTTCTTTTAACCTCTAGAGTCCTGAGCTTTGGAAACCCAAGCTGTGCGGTCCTCATATGAGGACGCAGGGACTCTAGAGGTTAAGCATACTAGCATTGCATATACGAAAATGGGCAGAGAGATGAGTTACACATGACAACATCTCTTAAACAAGTTAGATTCAATGCATTTTGAATTATGTTTTTTTTGTCTTCAGCATAGTGCATCCACTAATGCCATCATCATACAAAAACTGTTTCCATTCTATGAATGATGGGAATCTTGCAGGAAATTGGATCCACTTCCTCAGTGCATCTCAGGGCTGCCTTCGCTCACTCACTTTGTTCTGTTTTGTGTGGATTCTACTTCATAGCAACATGAGCATTCATTTCACACCTATATGATATGTACGATAATCTTAGAAAAAAATATTCAAAAGCTGCATCCTTCTGTTGCTGATCTTCCCTGAAATGCCTTGACTTTCAGAGGTGCCTATTCAATAAGTTGCACTTTGGATTAAATTAACATTTTAACATTTTCCAGACTGGGTTTGCCGTGCTGTTTGTTAATCTACCATTTTGGTCTAGAATGAAATATTCAACAACTATTTAATAGATTTCTATTAAATTTTAGATAAACATTCATGGTCCCCAGAGTCCTCATATGACCCCCTGACCTTTCCTCTAGCACCACCATGAGGTTGATATTTGTGGTTTCTACTGTAATGTCTTCAAATCTTTTGGATGCATTTCCATTAAATTTTAGTGCTAATTATCACCGGTTAGCAAGATAACACACTAAACTATGATGGTACACATAGTAAACATATATCTGCTAAACATTATTATGTTAGCATCGTCATTATGAGCATGCTAACATTAGCATAGCTCAAAATCACAAAACTCTTAGTCTTCAAATCTGACACACATATATCAATAATTATTTTATTAACTCACTCACTGGTATCTAACTTCTGTGGCCATTAGCAGCCATGGTAAAATGTCTTACCACTCTGTATTCCCTCCACCTTGACAAAGGTTAATTTTGCTGATAAACGTCCCACGGTAACAATAAGATCTATCTTTTTTTGTTTAGGCTGAAAGCTCATATGTTGTTCTCCACTTACTAACTTTATGGTGTTTTAACTGCTTTCAATGATGATGACTGTTAAACAAAAAGCTCTTCACCTCTGTAGATGCACTCACGTGATGTGTTTTCCCAGACTGACAGAGGGGCATAAATAGGAAGGGAGCTTTTTTCATGCCTTGTAATCCTATGTGAAATTCTGCTTGGCTGGGGAGGCCTGGTCTTTGGTTTAGTAGTGTGGAGCGTGTGGGTCTAAATCCAGTGCTTTAGTAGTCCAGGTGTGACAATGAAGTATGTTTTGGTTTGAAAAACCTTTGTTTTTCATGTGTAAAGGTGTCAGCATGTGGACTTTCCCCCCATTTAAATTATAGATGCAAATGCAACAGTGAAGGAACTTGCTATCTCTGATGTTTTAGTAAGATATTCTACTTCATTATAGTCAGGCAGCAAAAACTTTGGAGTTTTTTTTTTCAAACTTTCACTCTGAGTGTTGCTTATTTTGTCATTGCTATTTAATGTCATGTGTAAATACTGAATATTTACAATTTATGTTCCAGAGGCTTTGAGTAAAGGTTAAAAGAAAGTTTGTAATGTTGGAAAAAGTAGTTAGCAAAGCATTCTCGCCAACATAACAACATGGATACAAAGTCTTGAAGGCTCTCCTAAAAATTTAACTTTGAACATCTTCAGTTTATTGACAACTGAGAAAGCATCATCTGCAGAGAAAGCAGATGATGGGAAATAAATCCTTTTGTAAATTTTGACTTGAGGAGGAGCGCTTTGTTTGTGTTTGGATAAGCTGCAACAGTCAGGTGTATTTACACTGCCATTAACTGCTGATTCAAATTGAGATACCTGTGCTGCTGTTTAGAGAAAGTATTCAAAGGTATTGTTGTAATTTTCCAACTAACAACTCACACACATCTACATGGTCACTTTACAGCTAAGGAGACAAAGACAAAAGAAACATCAGATGGACAGGCCACCTGAAGGGAGCCTCAAAGTTCAGGCTAAATCACCCTGAACCAAGTGGGTGGGTCAGTGCAGAATTAACACTCTCTCAGAGGCACAGCCGGACATATCCAGGAGATCCTGCTGCATCCCAGGATTAGATATGACAGTTAGGAGTCACTAAAGGACGCTATTATCTTT